GAGAAGGAGATTTTACATACAACAAATTAGATGGTTTTCAAAGGAAATTCTACATAATGTTCTCAGAGGCTCCTAGTCAAAATAGCTATATTAACTCCGTTGCACAATTACTCTAGACCGCCCTTTAAAGGAGCTATCCAAAGTGCTGAACCTAATGTCCCCAAGTACTGAATACTTCCCATTAGGCCAAACTCGGGCCATTCTTTAATGAGGTGAAACACCTGGCCTATCTTTGTTTGTGTTAAAGCTCCTCTGCTCTGCCCTACCCCAACTTGTTTCCCAATTCTTTCCTTTCATTCTTAACCCAAAGCTTTGTGCAGCCTTCACAGCTAATTACTGCAAATGCAGAGCAGAGTGCCTTGTAATTAATTATAGTTATTAGTGTAATTAGTAGAGCTAAATTAAAGCTTGAAATGCAGGGTCTTTAAAATATATTTTCTGTATATCTTGTTTGTGACTAAATAAGAGGTTAGTAAAAAAGGGAATGTTTGCTCATGTTTTATAGAGCTGGGATGTTTCAGTAGTAGGACAGCTGCTTTGTGGCAGATGCCAGGGCTCCTTTCATTTGGAGCTGAGCCAAAGCTCAGCTCCTCATCTCTTCCTTTTGTTTCATGGCTCCAAGTAGGAAAGACTTGCTTGTTTGTATGATCAGACACCAAGTTGGTCTCAATTCCCGGTGACTCTATGGATAAGAGAACTTCATGTGTCCCATCTATCAGGAGAACTTTTTTTCAGCTCATGAAAGGGATTCTTCAACTCAAAGGCATTCAGGTGGAGCATCCAAATTGATTATGGCATGCAGTTCACAACATTGCTTTGATCTCAGTATGTATTGCAGGGCTGGGGAATAATAGAATCATAGAGTTGGAAGAGACCACAAGGACCACCCAGTCCAAATGTTTGTCAACAGGCTGTATGAGATACTCAGAGGCCAAATATGGCTTCTATGAAAACTTTCCCACAGCTTCTCTGATCATACTTGAATGCCCCACACAAATAAATAAATAAATAGTAAGTTTTATTGATTAGCCCATTGGCCATATAAAAAATATTTGACAAACACATACACACACAATTACAGCATACAACCCACAGTATAACATAATTTTAAATAAACAAGCTGTTAACAAGATCCCAATCCAGATCAAATATCTGCATCACCACAACAGTTTACCATAATCAACTCAAAATATGAAGTTCTTATCTGTGTTACTTTAAATAGAAAAAAGGGCTGTTCTGTATGGCCAGCATTTATTGGCCAGCATTCTGGCTGGCCAATAAAAATGTAGGTTGCATAGTTAAAGCAATGGTATTCCCAGTAGTAACCTAAGGATGTGAGAGTGCCTTGGACTGCATGGAGATCAAATGAGTCCATACTCCAGGAAATAAAGCCCAACTGCTCACTGGAGGGAAGGGTATTAGAGGCAGAGATGAAGTACTTTGCCCACATAATGAGAAGACAGGAAAGCTTGGAGAAATAATTATGCGGAGGAAAATGGAAGTAAAAAGAAAGAGGGGCCGACCAAGGGCAAGGTGGATGGATGGTATCCTTGAAGTGACTGGCTTGACCTTGAAGGAACTGGAGGTGGCCACAGCCAACAGGGAGCTCTAGCATTGACTGGTCCATGAGATCACGAAGCGCTGGAAGTGACTGAATGAATAAACAACAACAAATCCTAGCAGGTTGTTGTTGTTGTTCATTGTTCAGTCACTTCCAACTCCTCGTAACCCCATGGACCAGCCCACACCAGAGCTCCCTGTCGGCCGTCACCATCCCCAGCTCCTTCAAGGTCAAGCCGGTCACTTCAAGGATGTAATCCATCCATCTTGCCCTTGGTCGGCCCCTCTTCCTTTTTCCTTCCACTTTCCCCAGCATCATTGTCTTCTCGGCTTTGCTGTCTCCTCATGATGTGGCCAAAGTACTTCAACTTTGTCTCTAGTATCCTTCCCTCCAATGAGCAGTCGGGCTTTATTTCCTGGAGGATGGACTGGTTGGATCTTCTCGCAGTCCAAGGCACTCTCAGCACTTTCCTCCAGCACCACAGCTCAAAAGCATCTATCTTCCTTCGCTCAGCCTTCCCTAAGGTCCAGCTCTCACATCCGTAGGTTACTACAGGGAATACCATGGCTTTGACTAGGCGGATCTTTGTTGCCAGTCTGATGTCTCTACTCTTTACTATTTTATCAAGACTCCTCCCAAGAAGTAAGTGTCTTCTGATTTCCTGGCCACAGTCTGCGTCTGCAGTAATCTTTGCGCCTAGAAATACAAAGTCTGTCACGGCCTCCACATTTTCTCCCTCTATTTTCCAGTTGTCAATCATTCTTGTTGCCATAATCTTGGTTTTTTTTTATGTTTAGCTGCAACCCAGCTTAGCAGATAGATGATTATCACTGAAGTCAAACATATTGGGAACATCCAAGATTGTTGAAGACGGGCTTATACTGTCTTTCTTGCTTTGAATTGTATTTCAGGGTGGATTTAGATGCTGTTTTGTGTCTTCAAGCTGATTGGTGACCTATGACAATCCTGTCACAGAGTTTTTATGGCAAGATTTTTTCAGACGGGAGAGTTGCCTTTGCCTTCCTCAGAGACTGAGAGAGTATGACATGCCCAATGGCATCCAGTTGGTTTGGTGGCTAATCGGGGATATCAGCTCTGGTCTCCAAATGTGTAGTCCAGTGTTCAAACCATTGCATCACACTGATTCTTTTTTAGTAAAAACCTAAATATGTATGTGGGAAAAATCATTGGAGGTGTAACAATAAGCACAGCTTTATTACAGACAAGCAGGCCAAAACCCTCTGGTTCCACAGGCCTTTGATAATTGATATTGCTGTTTTTAAATTGTTTTAAATTGTTTTTAAATTGTGTTAGATTTTAGCCTGTTCTTGTAAGCCGCTCCGAGCCCCAGGGGAGTGGTGGCATATAAGTTTGAATAATAAATAAATGAATAAATAAATAAATAAATAAGCATGTTTTCTAACATATATATATCCAGTAGGCCTGTGTGATCAATGGAAAAAATGTTTCAGTACTCATTATGAAATTAGAGGGTTGGTGGAAAATCATTTCTAAAGTGTTTCTGAAATTGCACAGGGTCTGTATAATAAGTCAACTACTTTTTAGTTACTTTTCATTAAGTAATTAATTGTGCCAATGGGAAAACTTTAGGGGTGCCTTTCTCCCATTGTTAGATCTATTGACATGAAACTTGCTACAATTATAGAACACATTTACCACTGTTAGTTCATCAAGTTTCAGAACATTTCACTCTAGTTGGTACAGTACTACAGTCATGATTAATCTTGACAAGAGTAAATCTGTTGAATAAATGGGATTTGTCTATATCTTGACTTAAGGTAAAGCTAGTCCCCTGACATTAAGTCCAGTCATGTCTGACTCTGGGTTGTGGTGCTCATCTCCATTTCTAAGCCGAAGAGCCAGCGTTGTCCGTAGACACCTCCAAGGTCATGTGGCCGGCATGACTGCATGGAGCGCCGTTACCTTCCCGCCGGAGCGGTACCTATTGATCTACTCACATTTGCATGTTTTCGAACTGCTAGGTTGACAGAAGCTAGGGCTGACAGCGGAAGCTCACGCCCCTCCGGAATCGAACCTGCGACCTTTCGATCAACAAGCTCAGCAGCTCAGTGCTTTAACCCACTGCGCCACCGGGTGCTCCTATATCTTGACTTACCATTCAACAATTCATTCAAATAGTTGTACTGTAACTGGGACAAAATGGTAAGATTCAAGCACATAGTCTTCATTCTTGGGGTAAAACTTTGACACTTACATAGCTCAGGTGCTCCCTCATGCTGTGTCAACTGTTTGGGAATTAAGAGATGGCAATCCTGTCCTCCTATGCTGACACAGCCATCCTTCCTGAATTGCCCCTTTACTGGAAGACACTTGGTAGGTCACTAAAATGCAACTCCTCATTTCTTGGGTTGCCAAGGTAGTTAAAGAGAAAGCCCAGTTCATATACAAAATATGTATGTCTAGATTCAGCTGTTTGTTCAGTCTAATAGTGCTGAGCCTTAATAGAGTGTTCCAGGCTTAGCAGATGTAATTATAGGCATGTTGCACAGACAGGTACATCATCCTGGGAAGCGAGTGCCAAGACAGAGCCTGCGTGCTCAGCAAACTGGCTTCAAGATTAGAGGATGCTTAGTGTCAGTGAAGATAAATCAAAAGGTTACAAGTGCTGGCAAAAGAGGCCATGCTGGATAGAATAAACCACACATCAGGAGATGCTGCTACCACTGAGAAATAGCATCTCTGTTTCTTTTGTTTCCTTCAGGGCATCATAATATGCTCAATTCCATCAAATGTTATATCCCGAGAAGATCAAGCACACCCCCTATAACTTTGCAGGCAGGAGGTGACTCTGTTATGAGCAAGGTCTGATGAGATGCAGTAAATAAGTCACAGTAGAAAGTTGAAAAAGTTATCTGTGAATGTCCGGCTTCACTTTTCACTACCAAGTTGATTTCGGGAACAATTTGGGGTGGGTTTGTGTGGGTATCTCTGTATATCTCTGTTTAACATTTGCAAGTAATAGTCACAAAATCCCCTTCTCCATTGCATTGCCTGAAAGGTGCTCAGCCACATCAGGGATACAGAATTCCCCATGCCAACCAGACACATACAAAGGATTACTCCTGAACAAGTCCATTCGACTGAATAGGGGTTGGACAGCTCAGATCCTGAGCAAATAGCAAACCTTTCCTCTAGAACGGTTTAGCCAGTGAATAAGTCTTTGGCCTGATAAATAAAATCTCCAATCCTGCTTTCTCTTCCTCTTTTGCAGAAGCTGACTCACTGATCTAAATATGAGAACTGTGGTGATTTTGCATGGACTTTCTTTGACGTACATTCATTTTGCTTTCATAGGTTAATGTACCATATACAGTATATTTATTTCTCTCCCCAACACACACATGTCCCAGCATCGTTCTTTTAAAAATCCATATATTTTAAAAAATTAACAACTTACCACTTTTGCCCACTCCGCCTGATCCCAGCATCACCACCTTATACTCCCTCAAGCCCCCCGAAAAGGTCCTGGAGGAGTTGGGGGTTTCACCTCCGGCCTCCATCTTCTTTGAGGGGAGCTGTACAGAGCTGGCAGGCACTTGCCTTGAAACAACTATAAAAGCAATAGGAGAGGGGGAGAAATGGAGTGGTACCTAGGAGAGGTACGATTTAGCAGCTTCACATGCTTGCCGCCGTGCCTGCCGTAGCTGCAGAAGGTCTCATAGCAACCAGTTTTAAGAGCTTCCAATAAAAATCCAGCTCATCACCCCCTCCTTGTTCTCCTTCTCTGTGTCTCTTTCTCTATTGCTGTCCTCTTCCTGGACACACAAAGCTGTGCATTGCTTACAAACTGTGTACCTTCATGGTTTATAAGGCTCTTCTCTGCTCCCATTTATCTGGAGAGTACATGCTTCCCTCTTGCTTTTTGAGCTCTGATCTGTTTCCAGAGCCAAAGGGTTAATCCAAGCTTAAGGTGAGATGGCAGGAAAGGGGAACAGCCCTTGAATAATTGTGGGATTTGGATTCACCCCACTTTCATGTCTAGGAAACAGATGGAATAAATGCAGCAATGACATTGCTGAGACAGGTGAGAGAAAGTAGGGATACATTTACAGAAATAACCCTTATACACGCATCTCTGTGTATCCAGGGATTTCACCATCCACCCCCCCCCTCCAAATTTGATTTTATTATGCAATAAAAGGGATACCAAGTTGCTATGCCATTGTATTTTATGGGACTTTGGCATCCACAGATTTTGATATCTGCAGAGGTGGGATCCTGAAATCAAACCCAAGCAGATTCCAAGAGTACACTGTTTTTGCTTGATATGTCCTTAATTGGGAGATGGATGGGATTGAGCTCAACACTTCCAAATTCCACAGAAGAGGCCTGTTTGAGCATATGTCAATTTGGGAACTTGATAGGACACACTTCTTTCAGCCAATCAAAGCAATGACATTATTCAACTTTGTGCCATGTGAAATATTCAAGCAATACCCTGCAGCTAGCAATGTAGGAATTGAATGTTTTAGCATGTCAGGTGTTCCATCATCCACAGAGAACTCTTTCCAGATTTCTTTATAGAATACTTTTTATTAAAATGTTTTTTTTTAAAAAAAAAATACAATAACAATTACAGGCAAAAAAGAGAAAGCAAACAAAAAAATATACTATGAAACCATGTAAACCAAGATAAAACTGATTTCTGGCTTTCTTTTGGCAATTATAGATACATATTCATACTAATATCTCTATCGATAAAACTGCATCAAATACTTCTTCCAGTAATGAAATTTTAGTGTCTGTCAACATTAAAAGGTAATGTGTCATTTACTTTTTAGAGCTTTTAGAAATTTCACCAATATTTTTTCTCAAATCAAACGAGATATTTTTTCAATAACTATTCCTCTCTAGTGAGTAATATTTGAATTCTTTCATTGTTATGCATACATCAGTCTTGCTGCTGTGCCCATATACTGAAGTAGTCTTCCATGGTACTTTTCCAATTGTTCATCCATAAGTCTAAAAAAAAAAGTCTTTGTTTCAATTCAATGTTAACTTTTAAGATCCTCTGTGCCAGGTATATATTTAGAATCGTAGAATCATAGAATCAAAGAGTTGGAAGAAACCTCATGGGCCATCCAGTCCAAGCCAATTCTGCCAAGAAGCAGGAATATTGCATTCAAATCACCCCTGACAAATGGCCATCCAGCCCCTGTTTAAAAGCTTCCAAAGAAGGAGCCTCCACCACACTCCGGGGCAGAGAGTTCCACTGCTGAACGGCTCTCACAGTCAGGAAGTTCTTCCTCATGTTCCTGTTTAGGTTCCTCATGAACCTAAAATGTTTTAATCTTTCAATGTGTCCACAATAAGTATATGATAAAATATTTTTTTATGTTGTTCACATTTTTCAACATCCATTCAAAACAACCACTGTATGTTCTAGACAATTGCTTGGGTGTTCATGTACACTATTTTATAAAGATCACACTAACATATTTTATGTGTTTTTCTACAAGTTAAACCAAGAGAAAGACACTTGCAAACACTTGTATATGCATTTTTGTCATCATACATGATTTTCAAAAGCAACATGAAATTTTCCAAATGAATGTTGTGAGCAGCAGAGTTTATTACAGATCCCATGTAGCTAATGATACTGTTGCTTCAAATCTGGGAAAATCCAGAATTAGAAACATAGAATAGGGGTGCTTCCACACTACACTTAAACGTGTGCTGAAGTGAGTTTAAAAAACCCACTTCAACGTGTGTTTATGTTACCACCCACCCACGTCCAAAACACAGGTTTTCCTGGCAGCGGGGGCGGGGGTCTAGATGCTATCCCGATAACTACTGGGATGGCATCCAACCACCCCAAAGCTGCTGAAAAAAAAAACTTATCAGGCCACCATAAAGATGGTCCTTCAGTCCTCCTGGTGCATCATTTCTACATGCCAAGAGGACTGAAGAACCACCTTAATGATGGCTCAGTAAGTTTTTTAAAAAAATTAAGGCTTATTTTGGGGGAAGGGTGGGTGTCATCCCACACCTTTGGGCTCCAGTCCCCAAAAGGTGCAAGATGCCTGTGAAGACCACCCCCACGTAGTTCCAGTTGGTCTTGGGGCCACCTGGGTGTGAGTCCTCACAAACTCAATACCCCATTAGACCCAAGTCTTTCTGGAAGGCCCAAATCTAATGGGGTATTTAATTAATTTGTTATAACCAAAGTTATTCTGAATTAATTCATTTTTACCAGGGACATCATTTGGATCCTCTTGGTTAAAACCCAAACAGGTCCCACTTTTTTGGGGCCTGTCTGGATGGGCCCTAATAGAAACATAGAGTTGGAAGAGACCACAAGGGTCATTTAATCCAACAGCATTTTGCCAGGGAAGGTCACACAATCCAAACACTACCAAGGCTCTGTTTTAAGAACTCCAGGGAAGAAAACTCCATCACACACCACTCATATTTCCACTCTCAGAAAGCTCTTAAAATGAGGAAAGCTCTCCTAACATTTAGATAAAATCTCTTTTCCTGTAGTTTGAATCAGTTGTACCTAGTCTCTGAGATAGCAAAAAAAAAAAAAAACCCTCCTGTTTCCTTTCAAATATTTGAAACATGGCTACCATGTCCCCTCTGAACTCTTTTATCCAGGATACCCAGCTTTCTAAGCTTATCCTAAGAGAAATGCAGTTTCCAGACCTTTGACCATTTTGGTTGCCATCCTCTTGGTGCATTCCATCTTGTCAATATCCTTCTTGAATTGCAGTGTCCAGATCTGGACACAGCGTTATTTCAAGTGAGGTCATGAGACTGTATTGAAGACTTCTTTGTCTTTAGCTGCTCTTCAAATCCCTCATTAATTAAGCAGAACAATATTTCTGCCATTGCCTCGTCAACAGAAGTGTTTAAAAACTTGAGTCTCAAGCACTATGCAAATCTTAAGTGATTTTTGTGCCAGCAAGTGATGTCCTTAAAGACCAAAGGGATCATTTAAAATGCATGAATATGGATAGGATCACACACAGGCAAGGTGCTGTCAAGTGCCCAAACACTGGCATTGAAAAGTTAACACCTGTTTTGTAATACAGGAAACAATATAAGATCGTATTTTGTTGAGAGGTTTACAACTATTTCTTCATCGGGATACTGTTGACGTTACATACAGGCATTACTTGAAATTATGTCAGATGACAGCCAGCATGGTGCCATGTTTTTAGTGTTAGAATATGGCTCTGGAGACCAGGGTTCAAATTCCCATTTTTTTTCACTTGGAGTTCCACATCAGGAAAAAAGAATGGGATAGCAATAAATGAATACATAAAAAAACCCAGTGTAGTTTAGTGGTTTGAGTGACCTTGGGTGATTCACACATTCTCAGCCTCAGAAAACCCCATGAGAGGTTTACCTTAGTGCCATCATAAGTCAGGAAGGATTTTTTAGATGTTTTCCTGGTTTGAGCCTCACTGAAGCTTCAGAAAAGAGCTAAAGGGAAATCCAGCCTGCATGTTGCATGGAGCCTGAAATTCCCATCTTGTCACCCTCAAAATATCTCTTAATTCTCAGACAAATTGAAATTTGGGGCTGAATCTGAAAAAGATTACAGATTGCCTAAAAAAGAAATCACAGTGCAATTACTTTAAGTATGGGTGATGTGAGCAAAGGAGACTTAGAAACAGATTGGCAGAAGTGACACAGGGATCAGCCACTCCCATCCCCTATACTGATAAATGAAGGAAAAGTGTGATGGAGATGATGTCTGGAAGGTGAAACAAGCCTGAACAGATTCTATCTTACTGGCCAGATAGCTAAGGAACCCCATGATATTCTAGTTCTCTGCAAGCTTGAGTGCCCTCTGAATTTGTCTAAGATGGAGCAAGGTTGGGTTAAAGGCAGAAAATCTACAATATTTACTGAAAGTTCCTGTGTGTCATGAAAACAGATAGTGCTGGATTTCAAGTGAGTCTACATTTTTAATCCATGTAGACAAGCCTTAAGACAGCTCTCCTTCAATTCCTAATTTAAGAACCTCAGCATTATGGAGAAAGATCCAAGATACTTCACTGGGGTGTGGTTCACAGATATTCACACGTGAATTTGCACCTTGATAACTACTACACAACCCCTATGATGAATGGCAAGGGTGTGCCATTGAGCTGATACTCAAATATGCAACTGAATGTGTTTCTGCTTATGTGTGGATGCACATGATACTTTTGTACAGTAGCACCACATGTGCAGTTCTGCTTCTGCAAAGGTAAAATGAAAATGTGTGCTCTACATCAGGAAAAAAATTGCAATAGTATTCATATGTAAGACACAGGGGCGGCTCAACCCGTTACGCAAAGTAAGCATTTGCAGTACAGTTGATTTTGCCCAGGGGCGCTCTTGAGGCGCTGTTGGGGGAAAATAGAGCTTGACATATGCGAGTTGTAGTTACTGGGATGTATAGTTCACCTACAATCAAAGAGCATTCTGAACTCCACCAATGATGGAATTGAACCAAATACGCCACACAGAACTCCCACGATGAACAGAAAATATATATCAATGATTGGTTGGGGGGGGGGGGGAGGAGCACCAAAATACTGTTTGCTTACCATTGAAAATTACCTAGGGCCATCTCTGGAATATTCCAGCAAAAATCTGTCATATTATCTTTAATACGATTATGATGAGTATCACAATCATAAAGCTGAATAAAAAGGAAACCCTGTAAAGAAATAATAGACGAAAGTTAAAATTATCTGTCTGTATCTATATCTATCTATCATCTATCTCATGGACAATGCAGCTAACCTACATTTGCGTCAATGAAATAAAAGAAGAAAGCAAATAACACCTTTTGGAGAAAGTAGAAGCTTTTCATTTGTTATCTGAACTTCAGTTACTGGGCTTAGGGATATTTTTTTTAGATAAATGGACAAACTCAGCTACAGTAACAGTCTT